GGAATCTAAAAAAATAAGAGGCAAAAAGAAATAATAGATGCGTTATATATTAAGAGTCTGATTTTAGGGACGTGAAGCTAACAGGCGACAAAGTTTCGCTAGAGATCTTCCAAAAAATACCGAAAAAGGGTACCTTCGACATCAATTCGGTCATGTCGTCTCGATATTTCTTTAATTGAAGTGTAACTGTATTTATTACGAGAAAATGTACCTTAAATGTGTAAGAGTGTAAACCACTGTAAAGTTTTACATGCATTGGCTTCGATGTGCGTTGCGCAAAGTGCCACTATATTATTATATAACTATAAGTTATATAAAATAATTCCTAGAACGATATGTAAATAGCTCAATAGAATAATAGATTTTCAAAGCCTTAAATGTTTTAATGTTATGTATAAACATCTCTTTCCTATATTTTATACTTGATTCGAGATAAACGAGATGAAACCAAAGGGGTTCAATAGTCGTTGATCGATATTTATAATCTGATCTTATGTAAAATCGTCTTAAGCATGCTTTCTAGAAACTTTATGATCATTTCATTAGTTAAATGGAATTTTGAAATTTAAGACGATTTTAAATATAAACTTATAAATATCGTTTAAAGATAATTATTTCAATTTACATAATCTTAAAATTCTAAGATCTTAGACGATCTTAAGATAAATCTGATTTAAGACAATTTCAAATATAAGATCGGACTATGAATATTATTCTTAACCCTTACCATACAAGGAACAATTGGTACTTCATCTATACAAACGGGGGATCATTAGAATTCGTTCGTTTTTTTCACCTATTCAAAATGATTCAAAAAATCTCTAAAAATTTATCAACATATTTTCAATTTTCTAGAATAAATATTGAAACTTTTTGGAAAATAATAAAATGTAGTATAACTTATAATTACCGAAAGACTCAAGTTGGGAAAAAATGGTATTTGATTAAAAAATTATAACTTTTCATAATAAATGAATATCAAAAAATGATTCCAGAGTTTTGTGGTTTAGATATGAAGTTTTGAAAATAAAAATTAGAATTCGAATTCTACAAAAAATTGAATTATTTGAGCACATGAATAAGAGTAATTTTCAACAAGGGAAAAGTCAAGTTAAATATGCATTTTTTTGTTATAATGTAATGTATTTTTTAGTGAAAAAAAAAATATAAATACATATTTAAATATGTATAAAAAACAAGTTTTACGTTTTGCAGTCTAGACATACGTAAGTACGATGTTGTTCATAAATCGGTTTTCTATATGAAACAATATATCCAGGTTTCTTTGTTGGCAGTTTTTTTGCAATAATAACATCGTTTTCTTATTTCAAGCTTATGTTTTCTTTTTTCTGGTTGCGGTTCTTCTATTCTATATAAAATAGTATTCTTCAAATAGATATTCTTAATCGTTTTTGAATTCGTGTGTTGTATAATAATCTATTTTTCATATATGGACCTGCTAGCATAATTGCCAAGTATTCTAAAAAATTATATCTTTTCATCGCGTTATTTATATCATTCAGATTATATAAAATATTGCTGTTAATGACTGCTTGATCAAGCATACCAAAGAAGCCTCATTGTCCATCGCTTCGTTTTTCCACACGTCGAATAGTTTTTCCAAAAAAATTTTTTTTTTTAATTAAAAGAGTGTTCCGTCTTTTGTTACTATTATAAAATGAAACTATTTCTGGTTTTTTAGTTTCTAAATATGTTTTTCTCTTATTTTTATGCAAACTCAATACAAGGCATACAACTTTGTTTTTCTCTGGCGTATAAGATGATAAAGTCATTTCGTTCGTACATACTGTGCATCACTAACAAAAGCAGATCGTTGAAAGACAAAAATTTGACTCTTAGTTTTCCATATTGTACCAACGTCAGAGTACTCACGTTTCATTATATTTATTAATTCAATAGAAGTGAATCAGTTATTACAGATAATGTTTCTGCCGTGAATCGGGGTTGAAAGTTGGCGCACATAATATGAAGGAACGTTTTCTAATCTTTCGATTACAACTTGACCTGTGTACGGAATCGCATTTAATATATAAAAGATTCTGGAATCATTTAAACATAAAATTTTTATTCCGTATTTATCAAGTTTGCTTTTGATGTAAATTTTTCTCTAAAGCCAAGAAGCTACTTATCTATAGTATGACTTTGTGAAGAGGTATAATATTTTGTACAATTTTTGATAAATTTGTCCCAAATTTCTCTGATGGCCGTCAATCTGTCGGCAGTTTGCCTGTCTTTCCTTATTGTTTTGTCGTCAAAGCATAAGCACGAACTCAAAAAAATGAAACGATTGCGAGTCATGACAGCTCTATACATAGTACAACTGTTTTCTTTCCACTGTATTTTTCTCTATCTTCACTGTATATTTATGTCTATCTTTTTATAATCCAGTAAAATATAAAAGACCGATGAATGCTTTCATTTCAATCAAATCTGTTTCACAATAATAAGGCTGACTCGATAAATTGACCAATCTCTGGTTTATTTCCTCATTAGTGTGCTTCACTATAATCTCCAGCAATTCATCCTGAAACAATAAACTCCAAATCTCTAATGGTGTTGTCATTTCTCTCGCTTCTTGTTTACATCCAGGTATAAATAGTAATTGATTTCCTAACTCCCGATTCAGGAGCTTTCGTAAGCTACTTGTATTATAGTTGTCTTTTCCGTAAAAATACGTCTCTGACGACCTGAGCTAGAAGATGGTTCTTGTTGTTCTACTTCCTCCTCAGCACTTTCTTCGGACTGCATTCATAGTCGTCATCATAGTCAAGTCCATCCTCTTCGCTTTCGACTTCGCTTTCCGATAATATAAAGTCCTCATCGCTGTTTGTCTCTCCTCCAAAAATGTCAACTTCGCTGTCTTGTAAAATAACGTGTCTCGTCTTTTCAGCTTTATCTATTTTATCTAAAAAATAATTCTTTAATGAAAAAAATTTTTTAATGAAAACAAATTCAGACATTAATTTAGAGTGAAAATAGAATAACATAATTTTTAAAAACCTCTTTTTATTAGAGAAGTCAGATCCCCTAAAAATGGCGGAATCACCATACAAGCGGAGTAGTATATGGGCAGCCATGGGGCGTCACAACAAACCCCCTCCACGTCTCCCTCTGGCGCCATGGGCGTGGCCTAGCCGGGTTAGTCAGCCGAAATGGAGCGTTCTGATTGGCTCGCCCTATACTCACCCAAGATTTGATTGGCTCGCCCTATACTCACCCAAGATTTGATTGGTTCGCCCTATACTCACCCGAAAAGTGATTGGAGAGGGTGGGGGGTAGAGGGTCTTAGACGAAATAGAGGTTTGAAAAATGGTGAGTGGGGATTTGGACTTCAGCATTCTTTGTCGCGCGGCTAGAGTACGAACAGAGGGGGATGGGGGGATGAATACCTGTCTAATCTTATGACGGTCGCTTTTGTTGTCGCAGAGGGCTACGTCTCCGACGTGTAGGCGATTCGGTGAATGTCTGATAAAGGAAATCTTATACGGAAAATTTGTAGCCCTAGAGAGAGACTTGCTTTTGTTCGGAAGAATTTTGGGGGGAGAGGTAAAACAGGAACGAACACGTTGCGGCGCGTCGTCTTCGAGCATTGCTTTTTAAAAAAATTCTTTCTATATCTAGTGTATTTAATGTACATTATCTGAGTCTGTAATACGGGGGAAAATGTATCTAATGTAAATGAGGTTGAAGGGGGGTAGGAGTAAGAAACAAGGCAATATTTACAAGTTCAAAAACGTTTATTTAAAAAAGATATTACATGAAATAGTTATTTTATTTTTTTAAAAGAGTACACGTTTGAACATGATGGCATACAACATGAGAATTTACGAGTTTATGTTTACAATGAAGAAAAATTTTATGAAATAACTGTACAATCAAACGATCATTTCGCTTACAATCAGAGGTAAACAGATCAAGAAACTGATTAAGATTATAGCCATTACACAAATAATATAGTATTTCTTGTACTTTATTTAAAAGTTTATATGTATAGCGCTGAAATAATCAGAGAAAAAAGTTGGTTATTGGAAGGTACGAGTAATTAAGAAACGAGGGTTTATGTTATAAAATTATATTTATTGATACAAATTTTTTTCAAAGAAGAAGAAATACATAGTTTGTATGAGAATAAACTAAAAACGTTTTAGTAAAATTAAGCCAAAGATTCCCGCTTCGAGAGAATTATATGAAAAATTTCGTTATATCTTAACGAAGTTAATTCCAAAAATATTATATTGAAATACATATCAAGAAAAGTTAAGTCGTTAATTTGTGTACGCACATTACGTTCTATATCTTCGCAATTACCACGCAGTGTTAATTTTAAAATTT